AATAGATGGCTTTAGCAACCTGTAACAGAAAGAAAAAAACTCCGGCGGTGGTTCTTCCACCCGGGGGCACTCCGACGATCAAGTCAGTATATCTCTCAAAGATAATCAAGTGCTAAGCTAAATACTCAAAATATAAATTGCATACCTTAGACCCACGGGGGTGCCTTTCTTTTATAATATACTCAATCCAAATCCCACTTGAATTATAACTTCTATGTACTCCAATTTTAGTGCTTACTTTGGACTCTGTAGGGGATAAAGATAAACTCCCCAAGAGCTTTATCCTTATCTTAGTTAAGTCCCCTCTTTGCCTTAGGACTCTTGTCCCTTATCTCGGATTCCGATATCCTCGGAGATAACCTCGGCTTCTCCGAGATTATCTCGGCTTGACTACCAGGACACGTGGCACCTCGGCTGACACGTCGGCATCACCATGCCACGTGTTGGTATTCAGAAAATACATCCTCACAAAAATAATTAAAAAAAAAATCAAATCAAATAAAATCAAATCAAATCGACCAACTCCCAAATGAATTCTCTCATCACAAAGTCAAGAAGAGTCTCCCCAGCTACTTCCCAGCTCTCACCACAAAGTCAAGAAAAGTCTTCCCAGCTACTTTCCAGCTCCTTCCTCACGTCACATTGAGTCGTCCTCCTCCTCCTCATCTTTTCCATTGCAATTGTTCTTTCTCCATTTGATATTTCAAACCCCTCAGAAGAAGTTACAGACTTGATCTGCTTTTTGATTTCTTGCAACAAGGTATGAAAACCCTAGTTTCTATTTTATCACTTTACAATTGTCATTGCGTGAGATCTTGTCCGTATTATTTCAAATTTTTTTTTTCCTGGTCTATGCTGTGCTTGAAGTTTATAAGCATTTTAAGAGCTTAATTTTGGTGATTTTTAAGAATTTAACCACGTCTATCATTATTCTTTGCTTATTTTTTCTCTTTTCTTTTAGATTTTTCTCGCAAGGCATCTTGGTTTCTCTCTTGCTTGAAAGGTATAGTGTTAAATATATATATCATTTCTTTTTTCAAGGATATGTATCTTTGGTGTTGTACTATATGCATATTTACTCTTCTGCCTTTTTTTTTCATCTTCTTTTTTTTTTCCTCCTTTATCTATACTTATCAGAATCTCAATCCGAATCTTATAACCTTCAATTTTACTATTCGTTTGGACATAATAGATCTGGATCGTGTAAAAAATTTTTTACAAGTAAGATCTTTCAATTCTAATAGTTGGATCTCATAGAATCATGGAATCTTGATTCATATATGATTCCATCAATTCAATTTTTAATCCTTATAAGGAATTTTATGAGGTAATTTATTGTATTTTTTGTATTTTTTCAATCCTGATAGTTGGATCTCATAAGATCGTGCAATCCCAATCTGGATCTATCCTATTGATCTAATTTTTAATCCTTGTTTTGTATTATATGAGCTAATTTACTGTAAATTTTATGTTTGTATACTTTTGATCCTGATAGTTGAATCTCATGGGATCATGGATTCCCGATCCAAATCCAATCCACCGATCTAATTTTTAATCATTGTTTTGTAATACAAACCTAATTTATTATAAATTTTACATTTGTTACTCAAATACCAATTTTATGTAATCCAAATGAATAAAAAAATAAGCCAGATATTCAATGAAATAGACTAAAATAAACAAATTAGGAAAACGCATTTAAATATTGAAGTAATATAAGAAATTAACTAGTGAAAAAAAAATTAGTCTTAGCAGGGGTTTGGAGAGAGCAAAAGTTTTATCTTAAATTTTGAATAGCCTATTTTCGTGACCTAGGAAGTACGTGTATGAATACGGATATGAAATATGACAAAATTTATAAAAGTAGGATACAAGAACGGTTAATATTAGGATACGCTTGTAAAAAAAATATTTTTTCAATTATTAACAGTGAGTTGCACAAGTTCAAGCATGTTAAAAGCTGTATCGTAATTTTATAATGTAAAATATTAATATTTAAGAATTAAGAATTAATTTAAGTCATTAGCTAATATATTTCTTCAATTTCAATAGGTTTTACAGATATTTTGCTTCAATATTATGCATTTATCGCAATAATAGAACAATCCACAAGAATTTTTCCATGTGTTTTTCCATAATTAATTTTTTTATAAATTAAAAGGGGCTTACGAATTTTAAAATGTTACTGTTATATAATTTTTATAAATTTTTTTGCATGTATTTTTTGTTTACAAATCATTTTTTTTTTTCTTCACATTTATGACAAAAATATCTTTTTTCTTTTATGACGTGTTTGCGGTATGAATTTAGGTAGAGATTAGGAAAGGAAAATATAAAAAGTGTGTAAAATGTAGGTGAAACATAACTATATTTTATTCACATTTCACATACATTTTCTGTTTTATTTTCCTTTCCAAATTCATACTCCAACCACAACCTTACAAAAGCCTTGTTTGAGAAGTTGACTATTTTAACCTGACTAAAAAAATTGTGTTTAAAAAATTGATTTTTTTTTTTTTAATTGTGTGAGAAAAAATGAAATGATTATGGGTTAGATGTGATATTGTCTTATTGACTATTTTAACATATTTTGCCTTTTAAAAAACTGTTTTAGCTCGACACTCTCCCCAAACAAGGCTAAAATAGAAGAGAATTTGGGCTTTCTTAATTTCACTTCTCAACTTGAGAAGATTATAGGATCCGTGAGGCCCATCATGAGTCTCATTTCGATTCTTAGTAATACTTTGGTATTACTAGTCCCAATACCCTCCCTATAGTCCAAAACAAACAGGGCCTAAATGGTTTATTTTGTAAAATTCTCATGTATATAATTTATAAAAAAATTAAATCGATAATCGTAATTTTTTTAATTTTATGATATTATTTTTCTAATGAGTTATTTTAAAAAATATACTGGTCAAAACGTTCTTGACATTGTTCCCAAACTATTAGATAATTTATGATTATTAAAGACCCCAAAAAATCAAATCATGTACAGTTTTTAAATTTAAATAAATAAAAATCTAAATAAGAAGCAAAAAATCTACTCTATAACCAGGTAATTTATTCTTTTCAAATAATGATGGTAATCAACAAATAGAACAAATAATAATTGGTTCAAAGTACAAATGATTTATAAATTGTGTTTTTGCTGCAACCTGTAGGAAGAGCAAAATAAGAATTTTAGGGATTATTTAGAATGCTCTAAGTAAGTGCATTTTTTAATTTTTTAGATAAAAAAATTGAGAAAAAAAATATAATTGTTTGGAATATTTTTTTAATTTTTTATTAAAAAATATATATTAAAATATTATATAAAATAATAAAACTATCATTTTACCCCTATGCCCTATGCATACTGGTAGTGACTATTGAAGGAAGCAGTACGGAATGATTTGAATTGTGGGCATAGTGGGGCAGACATGCTTCAGATTTATATACTTCTTTCGTCCCATAATATTAGCCATTTATTCTATTTTTTATTGTCTCAAAATATTAGTCTCTCTTCAAAAATTAAGTACAAAAATAATATAAATTTTCTATTTTGCCATTCTTTTAAATTAATAAATAATATAAAAAGTACAATTATGACATTGATATTCTCAAAAAAATGTACTATTAAAAGGATAATTCTGGAAAATCAATTTTTTTCAAATGCAATAATTGTACTACTAAAAAAAGTTAGATTCTCCAAAAGGGGCCATTATTTTGGGACGGAGGGAGTATATAAGATGAGGCTTTCCTCTAGTCCGATAGGGGGGTTTACGACGGGTTCCATTTTAATAATCTGAACCGTTTAATATGTAGAACTTGTCACATACTATATGTTTCTAAAAAATCACATTGATCGGATATCAATAGTTATGTGATCGAATCAGTTTTATATATAAAAAAAAATGGACAATTAAAAATAAACGGCTGAAAAAAATCTGATTTGATCACTAGCTATTGATATCCGATTAACGTGATTTTTTACAGGCATATAGTACTCAACGTATTCTACACGTTGAACGGTTTCGATTATCAAAACGGGACCCGTGGTGGGCCCATGGGCCCAACATCAACTTTTTTTTGTAAATTTTTTGTGCAGCCAATTAGGTAATTTGTACAATCTGGTTCAGACTGTATCATCACGTCAATGACTTTTTGGGTTGTACTTTTTTTTGTGTAAATTTGTTTTTATATTTTTTTTTATGAATAGTGATAACTTTTTAGATAATTTTTTGACTTTTTATATTTTTTTTAAAGATGCCAAACCCGGCCTTAATGTTGGAAGATGCTACAGTGACTACCTTTATATTTGAAAAGTTGAATAAATAATTAGTTAGGCCTCGTTTGGTAATTTATTGTTTTAGTTTAAAAGTTAAAAAATCACTAAAAAACAAAAAAATAATAGCTTACACTAAAAAAATAAATTTTTTTTTTCCCCTCTACTTTTACACATTTTTTTTTTTAAAAATTAAAAAATTATTTTAAACATACTAATTTTTTTATGAAAAATGCTTGGGAGCACTAAGTGCTCAATTAGTGCTCCCACTAATTAGGTGGCAGTGGGTCCCGCCATTAATGATGTGATGTTTTGGTCTTGGAGTTGTGTTTTTTTTTTATTTTTTTTATTTTTTAATGCATTAGTGCTATTAGTGGTGATGTTTTTAATGGGATGAATCATTATTATTTTTTTATTTCATATTTTAATCAAAAAATTTAAAAATTACTAAAATAAATTATTATCCAACTAGGCCTTAGCGGTGGTTAGTGGTGATTTTTTTAACACAAAGTTTTACAAAGAAGTGTTGGGTTGGATTTGAGGTTATTTCAACTATAAAAAGATAAAATAGATTTTTTTGTTTGATAAGATAAAATATTACATCTAATCCATAATTATTATATTATTTCTCTCACAAAAAGTTAAAAAAAAGTTAAAAAATCATTTAAAATTTTTTAATCCTAAACTAAAATAGTCAAAAAAATAATAAATAAATAAATAAAATCGACCAACTTCCCAAATGAATTCTCTCACCACAAAGTCAAGATAAGTCTTCCCAGCTCCTTCCCAGCTCCTTCCTCGCCTCACATTGACCTCATTCTCCTTCTCATCTCTTCCATTGCAATTGTTCTTTCTCCATTGGATATTTCAAACCCCTCAGAAGAAGTTACAGACTTTATCTGCTTTTTGATTTTTTGCAACAAGGTATGAAAACTCGTTTTTATTTTATCACTTTATAATTGTCATTGTGTGAGATCTTGTCTGTATGATTTCAAATTTTTTTTCATGGTCTATGCTGTGCTTGAAGTTTATAAGCATTTTAAGAGCTTAATTTTGGTGATTTTTAAGAATTTAACCACGTCTGTTATTATTCTTTGCTTATTTTTTCTCTTTTCTTGTAGATTTTTCTCGCAAAGCATCTTGGTTTCTCCCTGGCTTGAAAGGTATAGTGTTAAATATATATATCATTTCTTTTTTCAAGGATATGCATCTTTGGTGTAGCTGTATATGCATATTTAGGGTTGTTTGGAGTGTCCTAAATAAGTGTACTTTTTGTATTTTTAGACTAAAAAGTTAAGGAAAAAAATATAGATATTTGGTTTGATTTTTTTTTCTTTTTATGGAAAAAAAATATATATTAAAAAGTTGTATAAATAAGTGTATAGGATAAGATTGGGTAGGAGCAGTACGGAATGGCAGTGGTGACGGGTCGAATGAGTAGATGAGAAATTAATGTCTACTTCTCGGGTTTTGATTGGATCGTGTTGTTTGGTCCGTGGGGGCCCACCAAGGGTCCCGTTTTTCTAATCGGAACCGTTTAATGTATAGAACTCGTTGAGTACTACATGTTTCTAAAAAATCACGTTGATTGGATATCGATAGCTATCTGATCGTGTTAGTTTTTTTTTTTTGTCAACTGTTAACTATAACACCATCCATTTTTATACAAAACTGATTTGATCATGTAGTTAGTGATATCCGATAGACGTGATATTTTATAAGAATATAGTATTAGACTAGTTTTACATATTTAACAGTTCAGATTATCAAAACGGGACCCATGGTGGACCCTCACGAGCCCAACTTTTCCATCTTATTTAGTTAATATTTTACTATAATTTTTTTGTTTCCCCGGTCACTGACTCCACCATCACGGAATGTCTAATCTTGGGGCTTTTTTTTTATTTGTAATAATATTTGTATATTATTTTTTTAATATTTTTTTTGATAAATAGTGATAGCTTTTTAATTTTTTGAATAATTTTTTGGCTTTTTAACTTTTTCAAGGGTTGCCAAATCAGCCCTTACTTTTATGCCTTTTTTTACTTCATCTTGTGTTTTTTTTCCTCCTTTATCTATATTTATCAGAATCTCAATCCGAATCTTATAACCTTACAATTTTACTATTCATTTGGACATAATAGATCTGGATCGTGTAAAAAAATTTTTACAAGTAAGATCTTTCAATCCTAATAGTTGGATCTCATAGAATCATGGAATCTTGATTCATATATGATTCCATCAATTCAATTTTTAATCCTTACAAGGAATTTTATGAGGTAATTTATTGTATTTTTTTTTTTTTGGTATACTTTCAATTTTGATAGTTGGATCTCATAAGATTGTGGAATCCCACTCTGGATCTATCCTATTGATCTAATTTTTAATCCTTGTTTTGTATTATATGAGCTAATTTACTGTAAATTCTATGTTTGTATACTTTTATTATTTGGACGTAATAGATCTGGATCGTGTAAAAATATTTTTACAAGATCTTTCAATCCTAATAGTTGGATCTCATAGAATTATGGAATCTTGATTCATATATGATTCCATCAATTCAATTTTTAATCCTTACAAGGAATTTTATGAGGTAATTTATTGTATTTTTTTTTTTGGGTATACTTTCAATCTTGATAGTTGGATCTCATAAGATCGTGGAATCCCAATCTGGATCTATCCTATTGATCTACTTTTTAATCCTTGTTTTGTATTATATGAGCTAAGTTACTGTAAATTCTATGTTTGTATACTTTTGATCCTGATAGTTGAATCTCATAGGATCATGGAATCCCGATCTAGATCCAATTCACTGATCTAATTTTTAATCATTGTTTTGTAATAGAAAGCTAATTTATTATAAATTTTACATTTGTTACTCAAATACCAATTTTATGTTGTCCAAATGAATACAAAAATAAGCCAGATATTGAATGAAATAGACTAAAATAAACAAATTAGGGAAACACATTTAAATATTGAAGTAATATAAGAAATTAACTAGTCAAAAAATAAATAAAAAAACATAGTCTTAGCAGGGGTTTGAAGAGAACAAAAGTTTTATCTTAAATTTTGAAGAGCCTATTTTTGTGACCTAAGAAGTACGTGTATGAATACGGATATGGATAGAATATGATATGGATATGAAATACAACAAAAATTATAAAAGTAGGATACAAGTACGGTTACTATTAGGATACGTTTGTAAAAAAAATATTTTTTCAATTGTTGGTAGTGAGTTACACAAGCTCAAGCATGTTAAAAGCTATATCGTAATTTTATAATGTAAAATATTAATATTTAAGAATTATGAATTAATTTAAGTCATTAGCTAATTTATTTCTTCAATTTCAATAGGTTTTATAGATATTTTGTTTCAATATCAAGTCCAATATATATATATATATATATATACATATATATCGCAATAATAAAACAATCCACAAGAATTTGTCCATATGTTTTCCCTTTTACACTAGTCAAAAATGTGGTAAGTAAGTTTACTTACTTATTTATTTATTAATGTTTAATTCTACTATTATATTATTTACTTGTTAATTTTTACTTTGTATGTAGTTATATGGGACATACATGATACAATAAGGATACGCCAATTTAATAAATTCTATTACTTTTAACTCATTATATTCTTCTCATCAAAGAACTAAGTAAAGTATTGAAAAAATATTATTTTATTTATCTTCACAATTAAGGTATATTATAACATTATGTAAGAAATGTTACGATTCTAATTCAATAAAAACAAATAATACAAGACTTAAGAGTATATGATGCTTAAAAGTATCCATTGTCCAAATTAATTAATTAAAAAGTAGCTAATATTTTTAATAATCTGCTACATATTTGGGAGTATCGATCAAACACATCTCCTTTTAAAAATGTCTGTGCTTCATCGTTCCACCAAGGATCTTGTAGAGTGAAATTTTTCTAAAATTTCCTAGAATGTTACATTGTGTGGTTGAGATTTACTGGCAAGTCACATCAGAAAAATTGATATGACTTGCCAGTAAATCTCAACCACACAATGTAACACTCTAGAAAATTTTAGAAAAAAATCACTCTAGAAGATCTTTACTCTCATCGTTCATGTACACACGTCACCAGGTACATCATATAGTATATAAATAAAGTAGTGCTTTTCGCAAGTATAATCAAGCAATGCGCCATGTGTCAAGCTAAGAATGGCACATATTATTATTATTATTATTATTATTATTTGTGTTATGTTTTATGCATTTCCTTGTGTTTTGTGTCTTTTTACACTTCGTTTGGGAAGCATGAGTCGTTTGGGAAGCATGAGTTGGGTTTTTTTTTTAAACTATTTTAGTCACAAAAAATAAAATAATTTTTTTAGTTAAATAAAACAAAACATAACATTCAACTTATAATCATTACATTGTTTCTCTCACAAAAAAGTTAAAAAAGTTAAAAGTTCTTTCCAAATTAGACTTTTTAGCTCTAAGCTAAAATAACCAAAAAAGAAAAAAATTAAAAAAGCTAACTCACTTCCCAAACGAAGACATTGCATTCTCTCTATCTTAGCATTGATTTTTTTTTCTTTTTAATGTGAAAATGGAAAAGATGAAGAGTCTCTAATAAACCCTACATATATATCCTTTAAATATGGAAGATTGAAGGAATATGAGTAATTCTAAAGACTCTAATCTGTTTGGGAAGGGCTTATGGGGCTCAATGAGCCATGTAAGGACAAAAAAGTTGATTTTAGCCACGTGGAGACAAAAACGGAGGCAATCACTTGGCACCAACCATTGTGAGGGTAAATTTACAAAATTACCCCCACATGAGAGAGGGGCATCACCTCAGCGTTTATAAAAATATTTTTAAATATTTTAATTTTTTTTGTTAGGTATTTGATTATGATTTGAGTGTAGAGTTGTGAAAGTAGTATGAGTTTCGAGTTATGTATTTGGTTATGAGTTTTAAAAATAATTTACTAATTGAGTTTTATTTTATATATTTGGTTACGATTTGAGTGTAGAGTTGTTTTTAAATTTAAAATATTAATATTTTAAATTATTCAAATTTTTTGAATATTTAAATTATTTAAATTTTTTTGTTAAAATAATTTTTTGAATATTAACATTTTAAATTTTTTTGTTAAAATAATTTTTTGAATATTTAAATTATTTAAATTTTTATGATTTAAAATTAAAATAAAATTAAATATTTAAAATTTAATTTAATTTAAATTATTTAAAATAGACAGGACAATAAAATAAAACCTCACTTTTTATCATTTCACAGAAAATGAAAAAAAAAATTAAATAACAATAAAATAAAAAACACATGAAAAAACCATTTGCAAAAAAAAAAAAACCTTAAAATACATAAATTATTTAAAAAAAATACGCTTCATTCAAAAATATTTAAAAATATTTAAAAAATTATAAAAACGTAAATTCAAAAAAAAAAAAAAAAGAACGACAAAAATACGTCTCATCCAAAAAGAAAAAAAAATAGAAATTACCATTTTTCATGTAATTTACAAATAAATAAAATACATGAAAACCCATTTTTGAAATATAAAAACAAATTAATGTGTACAAATTAAAAAATGATAAAAACGTAAATTAAAAAAAATAACGAGAAAAATACGCCTCATTCAAAAATATATAAAAAAAAAACATAAAAACATAAATTACCATTCGCCACGTAATTTGCAAATAAATGAAACACATAAATAAAAAAAATGTTATTGTATACCAATAAAAATAAGGCAAAAAACATAAATTAAAAAGCAAGAACTAATTAATGTATAAAAAAATAAAAATGACAAAAACATAAATTTAAAAAAAAATAAAAAATAAAGCAAAATACGGCAAATCCAAACCCAAAATAAAAAATAAAAAAAAATTTACGCAAAATGCGCCAAATCCAAACCCAAAATAAAAAAATAAAAAAAAAAATGAAAGCAAAAAATGCCAAATCCACTTCCAAAATAAAAATTTACGAAAAATACGCCAAATCCAAACCCAACAAAAAAAATTTTAAAAGTAAAATAAGCCAAACTGAAACCCAAAATTAAAAAAATTAAAAAAAAAAATTAAGCAAAAAACGCCACATCCAAACCCAAAATAAAAATAAATAAATAAACTCAAAATTATTTTTCCTCTTTCGTTTG